CGTATGAACAGCTTCATACAATCCCATACGTTCTATTTTGACACATAGTTACCGCTTAGCGTTTTCGCGTCCGTGCGAACGCTCGCTAACTGATGCACGCGGGAATGTTGTAGACAAACAAATTTACGTTATAACAATATGGAAACATGTAATATTTATTTGTAAATATTAAATAATTAAGGTCACAGTCACGGTGAATAAATAACTAGGTTTACAATATATTTAATAGATATGTGACCTATAGAGCCGATAGGGGAAAGTGTAGATTGTTATTTACAACAAGCTGTCGCCCGCAAACTTTCGTTAACGCTAATTTCGACCATCCGTCACACCATTTTGACAGCGACGAATTTTAAAAAGTAGCCTATAATATGCCAATCCATGTCAGCTACCCTCCAGTGAAAGTCCCGTCAAAATCGGTCCAGCCGTTTCGAAGATTACCTGGAACAAAACGGCTTGCGCACAGACAGCATGACAGGCGGACAATAAAAATTGAATGCGATTTTCGTTATCAGCAACGCAAATACATCATCTTCCTGAAATCTGAAAATTTCTTTTGATATTACCAACAGACACTCCAGTTTTATTATACAAAATGCCATTTCGAAAATCGTGTCTCGATTAGACTCTTATAAGACAATCCATCCTTAGTATCTATTTTTTTGTTTATATACTTATTTATCTTTAGAATATTTGATGTCTTTACTTCCTAAATATGACCCAACAGGAAATTAATTAATTTTATATTCTTCTTTTGAATGTAAAGTTAATAAACAGTTCCTTCAAAATTAAGATTACGCATATATTTAAATTATTCAATGTAATTAACTTGAAACGTTCTTTGGTAGAAATTTTAATATACGTGTAATATAATTAAGCTACTCGTTGCCTTTTGTATATTACCTAAGTTAATTACAACTAAGTAATTACATCTGGTAGACACCGACAAGAATAACTGACCCGGTGGTGAAACGTCAATATAAATTATGAATATTTAATAGAGCCCTCTTTATCAATGAAGAAAAGTGTCACAATACAACACAACATCCTTTTGCTGTAGCTGTCTTTTCATGTTTTTACTTTAACGTAATTTCCCACATCTGTGGCGACAGCAGTGCCTCAATTGCCGAGCCAGAAAAATTGGTCCGACTATAATTGAATATTGCTGCCGTTTTAAAAATCACAGTCATAAATAAAAGGCACTAGCGAAATTAAATATATTCTAAGTCAATTTATTTACAATTGTTGCAAAAATAATTAAAGTACGTTTTACATTGTTATCCAAATGAGTATTAGGTGTTAATGGGTCTTACATTTATTATAGAACTAGCTTTTGCCTGTACTCCGTCCACGTGGAATTAAAAAAAAACAAAAGTACCCTATGTGTTCTTTTAGATTATATTGTACATCTTACCAAATTTCATTCAGATCCGTTCTAGCGCTAAGTCTACAAACTCCTAACAAACATCCATACATCTTCAATTTTAGACGAGTAAAAAAAATAAAAAAAATTTGTTCCATCGATTAAAAACTATCATTATTAACTTGGCCTTATTCCTTACGGAGGGTCGGCACATTATTTGCTGCTCTTCCATACCTTTTTGACCGACTTCCCAAAAGAAGGAGGTATTCAATTCGACCGTATGTTTTTTTTTTTTTTTTTTTTTTTTTTTTTTT